GCCTAGGAGTTGGAGGTTGCTGTGAGCTGTAATGCCATGGCACTCTGCCCAGGGGGACAGCTTGAGGCTCTGTCTCAAAAAAAAAAAAAAAAATACATGTGTGTGCACGTAGTAACCAGAGGACATGACATAGAAGATGAAATAAAGTCTGGGAAAAGTTAAGGGATGTTCCCAAAGTCCCAGTTAGTTGGGACGGATTTAGAACTGGGACCTGTGCCTAGGACTGGAAGAAAGGAATGGGATGGAATCTTGTACATTGAGAGCCTGGAAGGAGACCTGGGATCATAAATTCTTTGATTGGCATAGTACCTGCAATCAGGGAAGATGTGAACTCACGTGAGCCACACAGCTCAGGTCACATGTCTAATGTCAGTGACGGGGCCAGGACTGAAATCTCAGGGCTCATAGTGCAAAGGTCAGAGCTCCTTTGGATACCTTTATGGAGTGACCTCTTGAGAGGAAAGAGGATGTTTGGTAGGAAATACTGAATTCTAATTCAAGGAAAAGTCTCTTAGGTCTTGGGTTACAAATTTCTTACAGTCAGTTTAGACTTTTTCAACCATTAGAAATATAGATAAACATTTCTCTCATTTCTTAGCAAAGGAGTCATGGGTCTATATAGTATAGAACCAGCCTGGGACCCTGAGTGGTCGTGGACTGTTATTTATAACACTACCCTTTGATGACATTTTAGCACATTTTTTATTTTAAAAAATGTTTGCTTTCTTTATAGATACATTACTACATATCTATCTGCATTTTGTGACTACGACTCGAAAGTGGAAAGTAGTCTTTGGCTTGAAACCAATTATACAAGAATTTATTGAATACCTACTAGTTGCATATACTATTTAGGGAGCCATCGGAACTATGAAAATGCAAAGTCCTTAAAGAACTTGCAGTTCAACTGGGCGCGGTGGCTCATACCTGTAATCCCAGCGCTTGGGAGGCCGAGGCGGGTGGATTGCCTGAGCTCAGGAGTTTGAGACCAGCTCGAGTCAGAGCAAGACCCCGTCTCTGAAAAATAGTCAGGCGTTGTTATGGGCACCTGTAATCCCAGCTACTTGGGAGGCTGCAGCAAGAGAATCTCTTGAGCCCAAGAGTTTGAGGTTGCTGTAAACTATAGCACTCTACCAAGGGTGACCAAGTGAGACTTTGTCTCAAAAACAAAAAAAAAGAAAGAAAGAACTTTCAGTTCCATCTGGGATGCTGGGGTGGGTGGATTGCTTGAGCTCAGGAGTTTCAAACCAGCCTGAGCAAGTGCGAGACCCTGCCTCTTATAAAAATAGAAAAACTAGCCGGGTATAGTGGTGCACACCTATAGGCCCAGCTACTCGAGAAACCAAGGCAAGAGAATCACTTGAGCCTAGGGTTTAAGGTTGCTGTGACCTATGACACTGTGGCACTCCATCTAGGGTGAGACTGTCTCAAAGCAACAACTGTGAGCTATGACACCACAGCACTCTACCAAGGGCAACAAAGTGAGACTCTGTCTCAAAAAATAAACAAACAAAAAAAACCTGTCCATTATGGAGCATTTTGAACACATACATAAATAAAGTAATGTAATGAACTCCTATGTGCTATTACCAAGTCACAATATCTATTAAGTTTTGGCCAGTCCTGCTTTATCTACATTTTGTTTTTGTTTTATAAAAATATGCAGTTGATACCAAGGTTTTATTTATATTGTTTTCTACTTTTCTTATCCTGTATTATACTGAGACAAACTCCAGATATTACCTTAATTCATCTATAAATATTTTAGTATGTAGTCCTAGAAGATAAGGAATGTTGTGTTGTTTTTGTTTTTTGAGACAGGGTCTCACTCTATCACCCACTGTATCCTCAAACTCCTGGGCTCAAGTGATTCTCCTGTTTTAGGTTCCCAAGTAGCTGGGACTATAAGTGCATACCACTGTGCCCGGCTAATTTTTGTGGAGACAGGGTCTTGGCTATATTGTCCAGTCTGATCTTGAACTCTTGGCCTCAAGCAGCCCTCCCACCATAGCCTCTCAAAAGTGCTGAGGTTAGGGCAGCGCCTGTGGCTCAAAAGAGTAGGGTGCCGGCCCCGTATGCCAGAGGTGGCGGGTTCAAACCTAGCCTCGGCCAAAAACTGCACACACACAAAAAAAGTGCTGGGGTTACAGGCATGAGGAACCATGCCTGGCTAGGAGAGTTTTTAAAAATATAACCACAGCACCTGTGGAAAGAAAGGAATCAGGAAAAAGATCTATCTATCCACAGAACTATTATCACATATAAATAATAATCATTCCTTTAAAAAGTCCAGTGTTCTAATTACTTTGTAAATTTTTGGTATAGTTGTGTTTAGCCCATGAAGTTACTTTGTTCCTGAATCTCTGATACAGAGATGCTGTAGAACAGTCCTGAAGGTCCTTTATGACTTGGTCAATAACCAGCCATGATTTATTTTCACGTTCTTCACTGATTTAAAGCCTCCCCATTTTATAGTGACTAAATCTAAGTCTCACTTCTTGCATGAAAGCTGCCCTGACCACTCCTCAGTCACTGTGGCATTTATTATCTCTCCTACTCTGGTGGCACTTGGCCATATTGTCTTGTACAGTATAATTTCACATTGCTGTACATCGTAGGAGGGCAAGGATGTGTGTACCATACATTTTGTATACCAAACTCAGTCTGCCACCTTGTGGGGAAAATGGTACCTTCCTAACGCAGGAATTTTTGAGGGAGCAATGAGGTTACTATGTGAGAATGTTTTAACCTATGGAGCAAAATTGTAGAAAATTATAATTACTGCTGTTAACATAGTTAATATATGGATTCTAGACCATAACCTCCACGTGAGCAGAGATGTAGGTTCTGAGAGCCTATAACAATGTCTGGCTACCAGTAAATGTTTCTTTATTTTATTTTATTTGTTTGAGACAGATCTCACTTTGTCACCCTTGGTAGAGTACCATGGTATCACTTCTCTCACCAACCTCAAACTCTTGGGCTCAAGCAATTCTCTTGCCTCAGCCTCCCAAGTAACTAGGACTATAGGTGCCCACCACAACACCCAGCTATTTTTAGAAACAGGTTCTTGCTTGGCTGGTCTTGAATTCCTAAGCTCAAGCAATCCACATGCCTTGACCTCCTAGAGTGCTAGGATTACAGGCATGAGCCACTGTGTTTGGCCTGGTAAATGTTTCTTAATTTATTATCTGAATGAACTCAGCCAATTTCCCTTGTTCCTATCAGATGATATGAAACAGACATGATGAAGTTAAAGCCCTATAGGAAAAGGTTAAATTTTGTCAAAAATTGCATTTAATTTTTTTTCCTCCTCTCAAATCTGATAGGTTTATCTCAACATATAGTTACCAACTATAAGCAAGTAATCCAACTCTTGGAGGAGGGAATTGCAAACAGGTAACAGGTTTGTTTGTTCCTATCATCATTTTATCCTCATTCCTCTTCCTCTTCAGGGAGTGTTTGATGACACTTAGCATTCTCTGTCTACAGAGACATTCACAACCAGGACCCCCTTCCCAGAACAGAATATACCCAGGATAAAGGGCAGTGAGAAGATTTAGTGCTCTTCTCACTAGTAACGAGAAGTTTGTTCTGGATATAGTAATATTAGGCAGTAACCCCAGAGAATTACTCCGTACTTTGTTTTATAGTATGCACATATACAGCTTCTGGTATTTTCATCAAAGAAAAGATTCTTGCCTGCATTGTCCTCTCTGCAGCCTTGAGAGATATAAGGATGAAATAGTGTAAAATGTTTCATAAAACCATTTTCCCTCTAGTTTTGCATACTAATGAAGTAACCCCCAAAGACTGTTTAAATCTTCTACGAATAACAAAGTGCTGGGGACTCTCCCCAAAGCTATTGTAAATTGCAGTAACATTCGATTCTGTTAGTTATATCTAGTAATAGGTATAGTTATAGAATAGGTATAACTAGTTATACCTAGTTAGAAATACCTAGAATGTTACTAGTGTCTTTTTTTTTTTTAAGGCCTTTTTTCTAGGTAAAAGAAAGTGTTTAGAGCCTTGTGTTTTACTCTGTTAATATCAGGCCAAAGTTAACTCAACATGAAGAAAATATTTATATTTAACATTCTCCTCTTGGGTGTTCTGGAGGACTTGCCTGGAGGACTTGCTTTTGGTCTTCAGGAAATCCTGAGCTCCTTGATCTTTAAATGTCAGGCTTTACTTTTTACTCTTTATTCTTGAATCACTAGACTAGCTTCTAAATATTCACTGTTTTCTTCTATCCTCCAGTCCCTCTGAAAACAGAAGTCAGTGAATAGTCTTAAGCTGAAGCACAGCTGACTTAGTGTCAGAAGAGCCTGCCTTTATCTAAATCTAAGGGTTGGCACTGGAATGGATTTCTTTTTTTTTTTTTT